TTGCACTCTCTAGGTAGTTCTGCAGTCTAGCTGAATAGGACTTGCTCTTAGTTCTAGCACTTGCCTGCTGATGCTATAGCAGAGCCCAACCCGCCTGCCCTTACTAGCTTCCCACTAACCCATTTCACGTTTGGGCCAACAGGTGTTGTAACCCTTCCCAGCCTGATCTGCCTTCAGTCCCGGCTCTCACGCTCACCAGCAATAGCAGTGGCTCAGCCGGGGACTCCCCATTACTCCCCTACCAGGATCACACACCTCCCTCCATCTTGCATCAACTTGTGGGTGCTGCAGCCCAGTCTGGCATGGCCTGTCTCACCTCGGCATTGGCCAGCAGGTACTGTCACCTGGCCTGGCCTGGCCTGGTCTGTCCCCAGTTCCAGCTCACATTGACCTGGAACAGTCAGCCCCAGTCCCACTTCTAATGTGAATTGACTGGTGATGTGGCCAGATCCAGCCTCTTCTGCACCCCATCCTGGTTCTCAGATCTGCCAGGGAGTGTTATGAATTGGTGCAGCCTGGCCTGCTCCCAGACCTGAGCCACGTGTACCCCTGGAAAGTACTGTAACCTGGTTTACTCTGGGATGCTCCTTGTCTTGGATCTTGCTCTCACCTGCAGGGGTTGCACACTGACAAAAGAGTTCCCCAAGCTCCTTATTGGGTCTCCTCCCAGTGGCTGATCTCTCACACACTGCTGGGTGCTTGGGCCCGGACTGACTTAGTCCACCTCCTGTCCTGGCAGGGACAGTAGGCTTGCACAACTGGCTCTTACCCAATCCAGTTCTTACTGTTGGTGTTATAGTTCACCCACACCTAATCCATACTCTGACATAGCTCTCACACGGCCCAGTGGGAGCCAAAACCTAGCCTAGCCCATTCTATACCCACTCTGGCTCTCATGAGCACCAATGGGTGCTGGAGTCTAGCTCAGCCTTGCACATCCCAGTCCCAGTCCACACCCATGCCAAAGGACACTGCAGTCATGTCCAGTTCAGACCAACACCCACATTCTGGCCCTTGCATTCACCAGTGGGAACCATAACCCAGCCAGGGCATCTTCCTAACTCCTCAACCAGGCCCATTCCCAGCCAAGGTCTCACGTGTGCCAATGGTTACTCTGACCTATCCCGGCATAGCTCATCCCCTGTCTTGACCTTTGCCCTTGGATGCTGCAGCCTGGACTGATCCAACCCACCCTCAGTCCCAACGCCTGCTGGCGAGTGCTGGAACCTGGCCCTGCCCAATCTGCTCCCATCCCTGGCTCATGCAAACTGGTAGGTGTGATAGCCTAGCCGGGCATGCCCCGCATTCCAGCCTGGCTCCTGCATTTGCCATTGAGCTTAGGTTCAGCCCAATCATTCTTAAGCTGGCTGCCATTATTACTGTCTTGTTGAACCCATCCTGACAGGGCAAGGAGAAGCGGAAGGAAGGGTTGGAATAAGCACATCTTCTGGGCTTGGTTTACCTCCTGTGTGGGGGTTCCATGTACTCTTGGAATGATGATTTAGTCAGATGTAGATTATGGCAGAGTAATTAACTAGTCCTCATAATCTTGTTGAAATGCAGACACTCTTACTAAGTATTGTCTATTGCTGTTTCCGTGTAGCTGGTTCACTACCCAAGTGTTATATTGTAGCCACTGAAGCCAGGAGCCAGGAGTTCCTTCTGGGTCTCCCACGCAGGTACAGGGTCCCAAGGCTTTGGGCTGTCCTCCACTGCTTTCCCAGGCTACAAGCAGGGAGCTGGACAGGAAGTGGAACAGCAGGGACACAAACCAGTGCCCATTTGGGATTTGGTGCATGCAAGGTCCTCACTTTAGGCACTAGACTACCATGCTGGTCTCGGTGTTTCAGTATTTTTGCTTTTAAATATTTATTATTTTGAAAGAGTTACAGAGAGGGAGAGTGAGAGTAAGAGCGTTCGTTCTCCAGACAGTTGCAATGGCCAGCGCTAGGCCATGCTGAAGGCAGGAGCTGACACTTACACTGGATCTCCCACAAAGGAGGCAGGAGCCTGACCCCATGGGTCCTCCACTGCCCTTCCAGATCATCAACAGGGAACTGGATCAGAAGTGGAGCAGTGGGAGCATGAACTGGCCCTCATACGGGATGCCAGTGTTGCAGCCAACAGCTTTACCCACTATGCCACAATGCTCGTCCCCGTGTTTTGGTTTTCTATGTATAAAGGAGGCAGAGAAGTTTCACCAAACTTTGTAGAGTCCACTAAAACAGCTACCATAAAAACTTTAAATCATGCCTTAGTTCTCACTAGGAGAGTGGTGCTTTCCTAAAGCTAGGGCAACGTCCCCGGACAGGAAGCTGTCGGCAGGGCAGATCCCAGGCAAGTCGGTGCCTCTGCGACCCTGTATTTGGGCCACAGAAGTCTCTGATGAGCCAAGGTCTCAAGGAGGACACAGTTATCTCCTGGGAAAGGGCCGCGTGCTGCAATAGCACACATTTCTCTGGGTGGGAGATGACACTGCTGTATCTTCTGGTCCTCATGAAACAATTTAGTCTGGTTCAAGGACATGGACCTGTGAAAATGACAAGCTTCTAGAAACAAGTGCTGTTTTGTGTTCAAGACAATCTCCATGAGGAAGTAGGCTTCCTTCAACCATTTTTCTCATTAGACAACTCTTCTTATAGTAGTAATGGGGATGATAATAGCATTTAGGATGTGCTTATGTCAGGGTAAGAACTCGATATTTGTTATATTCATTAAAAAGAATTTAATTGGCACTATTTTTTACATTACTTGTGCCCTGTCAGCTGTGATTTTGCCTAGATCGCCCCAGAATCAATAAGTGTAATTTAGTGTAAGAGCATTCAGTCGTAAGAAAGATTTCTTATTTCTTTTTAAAGTTTATTTTTTAAATTCTTTAATTTCATGATGCGGTTCCTTAGGCTCAGGGATTGCTTTTATTAGCCATTATTTTCTCAACATCAGGCTTCTTTGCTAGTTGAAAAAAAACCAAACCCACAGTTCAGCAATAGTGATGCTCAGCAGTGCCAACATTCATCTTCAGGTGTTGATCACTGTGGGGAGGGGTCTGCCTATGTGATATTAAAACAAATGAGGTAAGGACTGGAAGGAACCATTTATGCCACTTTTGCAAGTGTAAGTTCAAAATTAGTTTCATAAGTTGAAATGGATCCTGTGATTTTTAAAAAATACTTACTTTTATTCGTCATGCAGACTTACAGACAGGAAAGACAGATCTTCCTTGCATAGGTACACTCCCCAACAGGCCACAGTAGCCAGTGCTGGGCCAAGCCAGGGCCAAGAGCCAGAAGCTTCTTCTAAGTCTCCCATGTGGGTACAAGGGTCCAAAAATTTGAGCCATCCCCCACTGCCTTCCCAGGCCACAAGCAGGAAGCTGGATGGGAAGTGAAGCAGCCAGGACAGTAACCAGTGCCCATATGGGATGCTAGTGCTTGCAGGTGAAGGGTTAGCCTGTTGAGCCTCCATGGCAGCTCCAGGAACCTGCAATTTCTTTTCTATAATTTGTGTCTTGCTTTCTTACGGCCAAAAAAAAAAAAAAAAAAGACACATGTTAAATATGAACAGGCTTTCCATACAGATATACAGAAAAGGAAATGGGAAATCCCTAATTTAATGAGAGGGCCTGCTTTAATTATCACTAGGTTCCTGACAAAAAAAGAGCCACGGGTGCCATTCGTGACTCATGCTCACAACGCTAACGGGATAGTGACGAGGCCGAGGTCCATGAAGGGTAGGGGACAGATGAGTGTGACCGCGATGGGCAGCTAGGAACCGCAGGATTTCTGGATTCCTTCCCTTTTTGTCACTAGCCACGCTTAAGCTAGCAATTCCTTTGAGCTTTCTCAGCTACTCGTCCCAAGCCACCACTGTATCTTCCCTGGACACGATAGTTCTCCATCAGTGGCTACTGTTCTAACCTCCCACCTATAATCTCTTCTCCACAGACCTGCCATACTCCATTTTTAAAATCTAAATTGTCATTGTCTTAAAAAAAAGAAAATCCCGTGGCTTTCCATCAGAAGACTTCACTGAGATTTTATTGGATTTTAAAACCTGGCCCTTATTATTCCGGATGACCCTCACTTCCTGTTGTCCTCCTCCTCAGCTCAACCACCACACAAGCGACCTACAGTTCTGGTTCTGATTGCACTTTTTTTTTTTTTTTAAATTCCAGGAAACCTTTATCTACTTTGCTAGTCCAGGATTTGTAATTGTTTCATCTCCAAATCAGTACAAACTGCACTGGGTTCTTAAAAGAAATACAATGGGTTGAGTTCCCAGCTCTGCTAATAATGGCCTTTTGAAGAGCCTCCTGTCTCGCAAATAAGTACAAACCAAAGCAAAAAGGCGTCCTTCGTGGGCAGCCGGAGGGGGACCACAGGCGCACTGGCCCGTGGCCGCTTCTCCTCCCAGGGGAGCCGGTGCTGCCCTGTGCGCAAGTCGCCAAGTCCTTGTACCGTCGTATCCTCTGGCCTCCCAACGTTAGGAAACGACCATAGATTATGTCGGTGAGGCTTAAAATGGGGGGAGGAAGAAACGCTCACATCTCCAGGGTTGAAACATCGTCATTTCACACAGACGCTGAGCTCTTTCAGGACCAACTTGTTAGAAGAAAAAGACAAAATGAGAGGCCGGGTGTCACAGGGAAAGGGGCTGACTGTTAGAACGTGCCGGGGAGGGACGGGGAAACGGAAAGCAGAGGCGTCTCCCTCCGGAGCCGGAGATCAACCGAAGAAAAACGCAGCGAGGCGTCCACGGCGTTCGCAGCCTCCGGCCGCGTGGCTTTCCCGCGCGCCGTCCTGGGGGGCGGGGAAGGACCCGGATGCAGCAGCCCTCGGCAGCCGGGACCCCCCCACCGCCTTTGAATCGCAGCGCGGGGCGGAGTTGCCCTCCCTTCCGTGTCCTGATTGGCTCTTCTCTTCAGGCTGCTTCTCGCCATTGGATGGTCCTCGCGTCAGTCGGAGCGTCACGCGTCTCTTGCATTGTTGCTGCAGGGAGACGGCGTCGACGTCGGGCTCGGCTCGCGGCGTTCTCCCCTGGAGTTGTGCGCCCGCGGTCCGGAGCTCGGAACCTGCCCGCGGCTTTCCCGGCTGCGGGGCGAGGAAGGGGGCGACTCCGGCGGCTGGAGGACGACCCGGGGCGCGCGGCGTTTCCCTCGTCATCCCACACAGCGCCATGTCCTGGATGTTTAAGAGGTGCCGGGGGTGCGCAGGGGGTGGGGCAGCGGGGCTGGCGGCCTGGCGGCGTCCCGCAATGAACCTGACCTTCCCCGGCATGTGTTCGTCCTCCTCGTGGCTTGCGGGGCAGGGGAGGCCTGCCTGTTCGGTTGTCTTCTTGGCTGGAGCGGACGGGCTCTAGGCAGAGCCCTGGAAATGCGTGTCACCGACTGTGGCAGGCCCGGGGCTGCCTCCAGGCTTGCTAAAGCCCTTGCTGCATGCAAGGCAACATCCATTGGACCTGGGTGCTCGGAATGGAGGGTCCTGCATGCAGCCCTGTCCGCGAGAGGCCGTGTGTGTGTGTGTGTGTGTGTGTGTGTGTTTGCACAGACGCGCGAGCGCTTGCAGAGAAGCTAAAGGAGGTGTGCGTGGTGCGGAAGGAAGGCGAAGGGCGAACAGCGACTGCCTCTTCCTGACAGAAGGGATGCTTTTCTGGAAGCCTCCACCAGACCCCTCTTCTGTGCCTAAGTTGGTTTTCATGTCTGTGCCCCAAACCGTTATTTATTTATAAAGGGCTTTCCCTTTGATAGGAACAGTCTGACTGACTATAAGTACTTCACATTTACATTGCTCCAGCAAAACATGACCATAAATAAAAATGGAGCTTTGGGAAATATGGGTTGGAGTACTATTAATAATCTTAATTGTATCCTCAATATTGTTATAGTTTTATCAGAAATTGATGATCCAGAAATAGCTGTAATAATAGACCTCCTTTGCAAGTTATGCTGTGACTTAGTAATGGATATAGTGTGTATGTTAGAGTCTTTTAACAAAGGTGACTCCATCCTCCTAAACTACTGGTGAAATGGGGCCTCCTCTCCTACCGCTCCTGTCAAGAGACTCCTAGGCGCACAAGCCCTCCCCTTATCACCTTTGTCAAGAAGCCACAATGTACGTAAGCATGTCATGGTAGGAATGATAAAGAAGAAATAATTGTATATTAATGAATATGTATGTTTTGAGAATGAATATGCATGTTTTCTTATAACTGAGAGAAAGCAAGTGTTACTGATAGATAACATGTAATAACCAATCAAAACATTGTAAACACCTGCCTGCCTTGCCCCTGGATTTGTATATAAACCCATGCATTTGTCCCAGTCACTGAAGCCAGCAGGCTCCCACTAAACCGGAGCCAAAAGCCCCTGGGCTTCCACTCGAACTTGCAGGCTCCCACGAGGCCGGAGCCAGAGAAGCCAGCAGGCTCCCACGAGACCGGAGCCAAGGTTTTGGGCTTCCACTCGAACTTGCAGGCTCCCACGAGGCCGGCGCCAAAGGCCCAGCAGACTTCCACGAGACTGAAGTCAAGAGGCACTCTCGGTGGCTTCCCCCGTCCTGTTTGGTGTGTGCTTGCCTGAATAAATGCTTGAATGCTTGATTGCAAAGCACCCACTCTCGACTCTGGTGACCGGGCTCGGTGTTCGCGACACCCTTAAACCAGCGAAGGAGGGAGGGGAGGGGTGCGGGGGGATGGCATGGTTTGAGAATACCTATATTAAAATGTGTTGTATCTCTAGGGAATTTAAGTAGTGGGTGCTGGATATATCATCCGAAAAGATGCAGACAACTTCATGCGTGCATGTATAAAAAGTAGTTCCGCGTTTACAAGTCTCTAGGTGAAGTCTTCATGGAAATTTCGACATAAAACTGAAACGGCATCGCACGTGTTTTAATTTAAAGAAATGATTTTTTTTTTTTTACTGGGGAAGAGATTTCGTGATAGTTCATTGTGTGTGTGTGTGTGCGTGCGCGTTGAATGGGGGGGTTGAAGCCCCCTAGAGGATCAGAGTTTGAGAACCTGGCGTGGGGGGCTTCCGGCTCTAACGGGGCGACTTCATTTGCCTACGGTGATTTTCATTTCAGCTTTTTCTTTCTTCCTTTTTTTCTTTTTTGACTAACGTCTGAGAAAACTGTTGTCATATACATGCTGATAAGTCTTTGAGAAGTACTTGTGTAAGTATTTTTTGTGCCCTCCCCCTTTTTGTCTTCATTAGGGATCCAGTTTGGAAGTATTTGCAGACTGTTCAGTATGGAGTCCATGGAAATTTTGCACGCCTCTCCTATCCAACGTTTTTCCCACGTTTTGAATTCCAAGATATTATCCCTCCAGACGACTTCCTAACTAGTGATGAAGAGCTGGATTCGGTTTTATTTGGAACGTTGAGAGGTCACGTGGTCGGACTACGCTACTATACTGGAGTCGTGAGTATATCAATTAATACGGGGTTAAATAGTGATTCATATTTTTGGAGTTCACCTAGAAAGTAAGAAATTGGGAAGATGACATAGGCAGCTGTTATAAATTATTGTGATATACTTAGGCAAGAGACACAAAACACCCAAACCGCTTTAATATTTTACTCTTATGTTACAATATGTGCCAGAGGTGGGACTTTATTGCCCCATCCCTGTAGCCCTGGAAGATCAGCAGGGGCCGAGAGTGAGAAATGCCCTGTGTGCTTGGGGAAGTGTGTGGAAGAAGTGATCACGAGCCAGCGAGGGCTGCGCGCTTCTCAGAGCCGGACGACTGTTCTGGTTGTGGTTTCGGTCCTGCTGATGTGCTGGGAGGCGGCAGGTGGCCCTGTGGGAGACCCGGAGGGAGAACCTGTGAGTGGAAGAGCTCTGTCTCTTTCCAGTAGTTAAACATTTAACACATTTTTATGTGGAAAAGTGGAATTTAAAATTATTTTGTTACAGAAAATCTTGGAATTGCATTTTCATAATATTTGTTTCTCTTTTTTTTTTTTAAAGATTTATTTTTATTAGTTTTTTATTGGAAAGGCGGATATACAGAGAGGAGAGACAGAGAGGAAGATCTTCCGTCCGATGATTCACTCCCCAAGTGAGCGCAACGGGCCGATACTATGCCGATCCAAAGCCAGGAGCCTCTTCTGGGTCTCCCACGTGGGTGCAGGGTCCCAAAGCTTTGGTTCGTCCTCGACTGCCTTCCCAGGCCACAGGCAGGGAGCTGGAAGGGAAGCGGGGCTGCTGGGATAGAACCGGCACCCATATGGGATCTCGGGCGTGCAAGGCAAGGACCTTTAACCACTTGTGCCACCGCACCGGGCCCAATATTTGTTTCTCGTAAACATTTTTTTGAAGATTTATTCTTTTTATTGCAAAGTCAGATATATACGGAGAGGAGGAGAGATAGAGAGGAAGATCTTCCGTCCCCAGTCACCGCTGATCCAAAGCTGAGAGCCCAGATCCTCTTCCGTCCTCGACTGCTTTCCCAGGCCACAAGCAGGGAGCTGGATGGGAAGTGGAGCTGCTGGGATTAGAACTGGTGCCCATATGGGATCTGGTTGCGTTCAAGGCGAGGACTTTAGCCACTAGAGCACGGCATGGGGCCCTTTCATAAACTTTTTAAAAGATCCTTTTTATGCATAGATTTCAGAATTTTTACATAGAAAGGAACTTCTTATTCTGTTTTTTTGTGAACTTTTTCAAGTACTGCTATGGTAAATTTCCAGTCCATTATTGTCTTTGGCCTCTTAGCACATTTCTGTACTTTAATGCTTTTAATTCAGCAAGATCTTCTCTTCACTTGATCTTAGCCAAAAGGCCGAGAAGCGATAGGAAGATTTCTTACTAGAAAAGGAAATTGTTTAATTTTATGCACTTGTTTTATAATGAGGTTTCGAAAAATATATGTTTATTTATTTTGGAGGATTACAGAGAGAGAGAGGGAGGAGAGGGGAGAGACGGAACTACCATATGCCAGTGCACTCCCCAGGTAGCTACAATGGCTGGAACTAGGCTGGGGCAAAGCCAGGAGCCAGGGGCTTCCTCTGCGTCTCCAGTGTGGGTGTCAGGGATCCGGCTGAGGCAAAGCCAGGAGCCAGGGGCTTCCTCTGGGTCTCCAGCGTGGGTGTCAGGGATCCGGCTGGGGCATAGCCAGGAGCCAGGGGCTTCCTCTGCATCTCCAATGTGGGTTCAGGGATCCCAACCCTTGGGCCCTCCTGCCTTTTCTGGGGAGCTGGGTTGACAGTGGAGCAGCTGGGATATGAAACCTGGACCCATATCAGATGCTGGTGTCATAGTTGTGCCTTTAGTTACTGTGCCGCAACACTGGCCCTTGGAGTGACATTTTCTTCCTGTGTCTGTCGTTCTAAATTGTGTGTGTATGTGTGTGTCTAGAAAAAAAAGGGACAGATTAAATATGACTTTATAAGCGTCGTCTTCGCTGTAGGCATCTGGTATGCCTGTGTGATATTTGGATAGTAAACTTGTAGTTTTACTAAAAGTGTTTTAATATTAAACTTTCAAAAACGAATACTTATTTTAATTAATAAAATCGATAAAATTTTCAAACATGTAGAAAAATATGAAACAGTACAGTAAACTTGGTATACCCGGAGTCCAGATTCAACAGGTTTTTCCACATTTGCTTCGTGTCTTTTTTTTGTCCTTTTGTGCAGAAGTACATCCCAAATGTGCCATTTTGTGTTAATATCACATATTTCTAAAACATTTTTTCTTGCATGTAATTTTCATAATCGGCAAAATCAAGGTCAGTGTTGTGGCCCGGGGATTAGGCTGCCGCCTGCAGTAGCATCCCGTGTTGGAGTTGTGATTGTGCTTGTGGCTGGCATCCTGCCTACGTGCCTGGGAGAGCAGCAGATGACCCAGCCAGCTCCTGACCCCCCGGGGATGGAGCCCTCAACTCCTGGCTGTGGCCTGGACCGTCCCTTGGAGTTGCAGCCACTTGGGGAGTGAACAGGAGGTTGGAAGACCTCTTTTTCTTTCAGTGAGGGATTGACTGAGTGTATGAATGAATGAGTAAGTAAGTAAAATTTAAAAGAGTTCTTTCCAATTTGTGCATGGTTGTTTCGGAGTATGCATTTTTCCATAAACTTTAACAATTCCTATTAAACATGTATTTAAATATTTTTGGGGCCCAGTGTGTTGACTCAGTTGGCTGATCTGCCTTCTTCAAGTGCCAGGATCCCATGTGGCGCTGGTTCGTGTCCCGGATGCTGCACTTGTTTGTGGCCTGGAAGATCAGTGGAGGACGGCCCAAAGCCTTGGGAGCCTGCACCCACGTGGGACACCTGCAGGAGGCTCCTTGGTTCGGATCAGCTCAGCTCCGGCCGCTGTGGCCATTTGGGGCGTGGACCAGCGGATGGAAGATTTTTCTGTCTCTCCTCCCTGTAGCTCTGCCTTTCCATTGAAAACAAATCTTTAAAAATTATGCAAATATTTCTGTGGAACCTGTGCTTACCTTTTCGTAACGCTATCCATGAACTTTTTGAAGTGTGGCTCTATGTGTTGATGAATTTTCTTTCACCATTTTTGGGAGCTTTTGGTCACTATTTTGTCAGTTATTATTTTTTTCCCTTTCCTGGTACTTTCTGTTGAGCTGGGCTGTCTTCTGTAAGCCCACAGATCTCTGAGATACTGAGGTTTTTAAATATTTGTTTTCTTTCTGTTACTTAGATTGTGGAAGGCTGCTTTTTAAATTTTTCTTATTCTTCTGTATACTCACACCTGTTGGATTTTTAGTGAATTTTTCACTTTAATTATTCTTTTTTTTTAATCTGCAGAATTCGTGTTTGGTCAGGCTTTGTTCTTTTTTTTTTTTTTTTTTAAATATGGAACGCTTCACGAATTTGCGTGTCATCCTTGCGCAGGGGCCATGCTAATCTTCTCTGTATTGTTCCAATTTTAGTATATGTGCTGCTGAAGCGAGCACCAGGCTTTGTTCTTATGCTTTTGGACATACTCATGTCTAAAGGAATTAATTGCTTTAGGTTTTTGAACATTTTAATTTATTTTTAAAGATTTATTATTTATTTATTTATGTATTTAAAGATTTACTTATTTTTATTGGAAAGCCAGATATACGGAGTAGGAGTCAGAGAGGAAGATCCTCTGTCTGCTGATTCACTCCCCAAGTGGGCACAATGGCCAGAGCTGAACTGATCTGAAGCCAGGAGCCAGGAGCCTCTTCCAGGTTTCCCACATGTGGTCACAGGGTCCCAAGGCATTGGACTGTCCTTGACTGCTTTCCAAGGCCACGAGCAGGGAGCCAAATGGGAAGCAGGACCACTGGGACATGAACCAATGCCCATATGGGATCCTGGTGTGTGCAAGGTGAGGACTTTAGCCACTAGGCTGCTGCACTGGGCCCAGATTTTAAACGTTTTAAAGAGGCTAACTCTTTTCCTAGTTTGCCAGTTATCCGTGTTTCTGTAGGACCAGTTGATACTTATTGTTTCCATGAAAGTAGATACATTTTTTTGTTTTATTTTGTGTTTTGTGCTTGTGCCTTTGACATTTCAGTGATTTATTCCATTTTGGTCGTACATGGGTGACAAGAACCCAAGACCTTGGGCTGTTTATCCACTGACTTCCCAGGCACATTAACAGGAAGCTGACTCGGAAGTGAAGTGCTGGGACTGCAGCCAGCACTCCGGTGTGGGACTTAACCTGCTGCCGCACAACGCCTGTCCCCATTTTATTTTTTCACATTGTGTATAGTTATGAGGATGTTTTATTGCATAGATGTATTGTGCACTATCCAATCAGGGCCGATGTATTTATCCTCTCAGACATTTAGCGTTTCTCTTGAAGTACATGGGAATCCCATGTTTTCCATTGTCTGCAGTCACCCTTCCTTGTCCCGTCTAGCTGTGACTTGGTACCCTGCGGCAGGCGTCCCCTCATCTTGTCCCCCCTGTTTTTGTCAGCAGCCTCTGCTAGTCATTCTGACCTTACGTAAGATGAGCTGTTCTTTAGACTCCGCATGGGAGGGAGGTCATGCGCTGGTCAGCTACCACATTTCTTTATCCACTCCTGCGTGGACGGACACTTGGGTTGTTGCTGGTTTTTGTGAGTTGGTGCTGTGCTGAGTGGGAGTGCACACGTCCCACTGACAGGCGGAGCACGTGCCTCTGGGATGTATTCCCTGGAGGGAGATTGCCGCGTCATGAGGTGGTGCTGTCTGGTTGTTTGAGGAGTCTCCATGCTGTTTGCCACCATGGTTGTGACCATTTACGTTCCTTCACTTCCCCGCCAACAGGCTTTTGTTCTGTTTTCTTTAGGTTTGTGTATTTGATTGACATTGAGGCGGGCAGGGAGAGCAAGCAAGCCTAGATCCTCCACGTGCTTTTTCACTCTGCAGACAGCTGCAGAAGCCCAAGGCCAGGAACCTCTGAAGGCCTCCCACGCGGGTGGCAGGGTCTGGATACTCCGGCATC